AACAGATTGAAGTTGTATTTGCATGTCTCCTTTACTTCTAAAATTTCATTCCTTTTGATGTCTAAGTTACAAGCTTTGCTCATTGTATCATAAAAAGGGGATTCGTGACTTCAGCTGATCATGAGTGTCTGTTTTGCCAGTGCTGCATAAGTGGATCTATCTTTTCAGCTTCTTGATTTTCATCTTTCGAAGAGCAAAGTTAACTCATTGCACGGAAGATTTATTTTTGCTCTGGTTTTATACGTACGCTAGCATTAGCATCCCTGTAAAATTTATTATGGCATGTCCCGTTTATGTAATATTTCATATTGTACCTAGTCGGATAGAGCGTTTTGTTATTGTTGTTGATCTCTGATAACTAGCACGCTCCCTGTCACTTGAAATAGAAACTACGGAGCAAAGTAGTCATATATTGATATGCAAATGCTTATCTGATATGAATGTCCTTTTCTCATAGCATCTCGCAGCATCTAGGGGATATGAAGAGATCGCCCTTTTCCTTATTCATGAAGGTGTAGAAATCGATGCTAGAGGTACTTCTTCGATATCAAAAAAAACCTGTGTCTATGTAATCACCGAAATTTGTTCTTCTGACATCCTGGACATAATTAATTCGGTGATTTGCTTAGATAACTATGGGAACACACCATTATTTGAAGCTGTAAAGAATGGACATGATCGAGTGGCTTCTTTACTAGTTGGAAAAGGGGCTTCTATGAAAATAGAGGATGCTGGCAGTGTTCTATGTAATGCAGTTGCAAGGGGAGATTCAGATTATCTTAAAAGGCTATTATCTAATGGCATGGATCCTAATACGAAAGATTACGATTACCGAAGCCCTCTTCATGTTGCTGCAGCAGAGGGTTTGTTCTTAATGGCTAAGTTGCTGATAGAAGCTGAAGCTAGCGTTTTTATCAAAGACAGGCAAGTTAAATTACTCATTTTGCGTGTTCATGCTGACATGATCCATGCTAACGCATAGATAACTTGGCCAATCTTTGGAACTCAACGAATTTTTGCCACAGAAATTCTCCATATAATTTAAACATCAATAAGTTCACCTGATTTTTCAACTTTAAAATTTTCTATTCCTTTGTTGTAAATGCGAACATTTTCACTCTAATGGCACTATTTTGCTTTAAACTGTGAGGTGCGGGGTTCGCATCTTGGGATTAAAATTGCCTTTCCTTTTCTCTCCGCCTTGCAGGTGGGGAAATACCCCAATTGATGAAGCTCGGCTGTGTGGAAATAAGATTGATCAAGCTCCTGGAAGAAGCAAAGTCTGCTCAATTGTCAAAATTCCCTCATCTCTCCTCAGAACTTACAGGTTTCGACAATACTCTTTATTGTCATTTGTTCTGTAGAACTAGAAATATGATAGACTCGGCAACGTTGCCATTAAGAAATCTTTGGACTCAACGTTGTCATTGAAGAGTGAAAATCTTTAGATCCCCCACCCCCCGGCGGTCTTCTAGCTAGCCTCAACCCTAAATTTCTCCACACCTTCCTTTCATAGTTCTCCTCTACGTTGTTGATATTTCTTTTTCCGTTTGCAGATAAATTTCATCCTAAGAAATGTACAGTCTTTCCTTTCCAGCCATGGGATCCAAAAGAACATAGAAGACATGGGATTGTACTATGGGTTCCACACTCCATTGAAGAGCTTATCGAAACAGCAGCAGAGCAGCTAGATGTTTCTAGTGATTGTTGTATTCTATCAGAAGATGCTGGTAAAATTACTGATGCGGATTGATTATGGATGGTCAAAAGCTGTATTTAGTCCACGAAAACGCATTAAAGATGTGTAGTAATATGTTACGGCCTTCCTGTATTGCCTTCTGTGTTGTATTGTGAGCAATCATTGCTTTTAATCACATGGAAATGTACCTGTATCTGCAAGAACCTGTTGTGAAGCTGAAAAAATTACATGATGCTGTCCTTCAGGTGTTGCATGCAATAAATAACTAGTGAGCATGATTCCTTAAATGCAATTCTCAAAGTCCTACCCTTTTGCCATGACTTGGCAATTACTACACTACAGGCTCGTTTGGTTCAATGCTATTGTACATGGACAATGGTAACTAGTATTGCGTTATCATTAGAAGAGTGGTTAGCATTTTAGGTGGACTCATGGTAATGGCTATTACACATCATTACCAAAATGATGGCAATATTCATTTATATCTTCCCCTGTGAATTTTCATTGCACTTCATTACTATCTCTTCATTGCAAAATAATATGAAGATTGCATTGCATCTTTCCAAAAGAATAAAGAATTGAACTAAACAGGTAGTATGTCATTTGAGTTACCCTCCCTAATTGATTTTCACTTTGGTATGTTAATGAATTAGGTAGGTTTTGCTTTAGATTCAAGTTCTATATCTGCCTTTTGCACGATGTGGGTTTTGAGTGTTGAACATTGAGCTAATGAATTGCCCTAGCCTATTAGTTGCCTCTGGAGTATGTTTTCCAAATAGAAAGTTCTTCAATGTAGTGTACACTCTATTAGGGAACTTAGGGTTTTTTGTTTCTTTAACAAGTTGAATTGCAATTTTTTCAAGTTGTCATTCATGATAAATCGTAGATCAAATGAATGCTAAATACTAAAAAAAAGTCCATTTGTTTTGAGATTTAAGATCAAGTGAAAGTTCAAAAAGCCAACTAATTGTAAAGCCTCTTGTGTGATATCAAAAGATAGCACACCTAAAATTTATGTTAAATTTGTCTAAAGTTCTTTTAAATTATGAAATTAGTAGTAGTTGATTTGTAATCTTTTTTACTGTTTAATAAGTTCTACCTGAAAATTGTATTGAAGAATGATTGAGATGCAACAGAAAAAAGTTGAGCAATTAACTCCAAGAAACTCAAGATGGATAAGGCCAAGCACACCAGCAGTTCCATTATAAAATTCATCACTAACTGTTAAAAGTTTAGTTTCGAAATAAAAGCTTCTCAGTCATCCAATGCAAATCTTGTGGTGAAAGACTTGATCACCAAGTCTCTTGGCAAGGCTAACAAGCCAGAGACATCGAATAATATAGTTTAAGGATCATGGTTGTTGGTAGAAAGAATTTAAGCTATAAAATGAATAATTCAGATGCTCGGTATATAAACTACTTTGGTGAGGTGTCAAATTTGTGTCAGAGGAGGTGATCATTTATCACTCCATGATGCACAAAGCAAGAATTTGAATATCTTTATGATTTAATAGGTTCACCCATGATTTAAAAACTAATTTTATTTATTTTATTGAGTCCAAGATATTAATTTTATTTATAGACAAATCAACCGCATAATAGTTTTTCAAACTTCTAATCATGCGATGTTCCTTGTGAAAAAGAATAGGAAAGCTTGGATTATTTCATTTAACAAAAAAGAAGAAATAATATTTTTTGGCTGAAAGCAAGAAGAAAAATTGACAAGAACGTAAAATAAAAATAAAAAAAAAAAAACGTACTCTTATCGCCTTATTTCAGTTCTATATGGAAGATGGCTAGAAAACTCTACTATGTCTCATGCCATTGCCACCAAATAAACGACTGGTAGTTAGTAGTTAGCACACGTGGCGCCCATACAACATATCCATCTGTCACCAATACAACTAGTTGCCGCTTCACTGTCTCCAATGGCGAAAGGACGATTATGGCCCCGGCGACACCTCTTCTCTTCTTTTGAATCTCCACTCGAGCGCGCCAAGTCTGAACGACTGGACACCAATCGTTTTAACAGAATCAGTTAAGACTAGTGAGCTTCTTCTCTCCCTTCTCTTTTTCTTTCTTTCTCCCCCTCCCCCCTTCCTGTGCATACGCCCACGAGGCTTTGTGCATGACAATTTTTCAGAAAGAATCGAAGAAGCGAAGTCTTGGGGTATCTTCGAGCACAAAGCGAAGCTTTAACCATGTCCTTCTCTCTCCTCGAAGCGTGTAGGAAGAGAAAGAGATGGCCCAAGGTTTTCAGGTTTCACTCTTTCGCCAACCCTGGTTGCCCCATCAATCCGAACGGACCTTTCAGAGATAACATTCGTCTTTTCCTTCAAGAATGTGGAGAGCTTGAAGACTTCGAGATCCAGGGCATGCCTTTATGGACCACCTTTCTTATTCACGAGAAATCGAACTGTATGACCCCTCTTTACACCATTGAAGAGAATGTCTACCACTCTACGCACCCATTCTGCGACCATTGCCGATGTGCAGGTTAGTCTCTGACTCTGAATCGTCCATTCTGTAATCTAAAATTTTCCAGTTTGGGGGCTGTTTAATTCTCGTTTAGTGATCTGGGTTGATTTTATCTGCCAAGAATCTTGAGTTGTCGAGGGTTTCGGTGGTTTGCATGTAAGCTTTCCTCTGTTTCGTTTGGTTCCTTCTGTTTTAGATGCTGATATGGGTGATTATTGAGATTGTGATGACTAGGCTGGAGCGGCCATTTTGTATCGAAGAGAAGGTACCATTTTATAATCCCCGACGATAATAAACCGTTGACTGAAGGTTTTCTTGATAATCAGAGTCATCTCTTGCATGGAATAATTCACTGTAATGGGTACGGCCATTTGCTCTGTGTTAATGGCATTGAAGGGGGTTCTAAATTTCTCAGTGGCAGAGAAATCATGGATTTGTGGGACAGGATCTGTACAACTCTTCGAACAAGGTATTGGAAAGACCATTAGACCTATCTTGATTCTGCATGAATTTCTCAAACGTTCTGAGAGTCTAAACTTTCTGGGGTTTGTTTCAATGGCAGGAAAATCGCAGTTGAAGATACATCAAAGAAGCGCTTGATGGATCTTCGCCTACTTCATGGAGTTGCTTATGGCCATTCTTGGTTTGGTAGGTGGGGTTACAGATTTTGTCGTGGAAGCTTTGGTGTGAAAGAGCAAAACTATGATGCAGCGATCGAACTTCTAAGTTCGTTAGAGCTTGATGAGGTCGTTCAATGTTTTAGTAATACAATTCGCCATAAAGAAATCAAACAAATAATTCGCCACTATAGAGACATGAGCGAAACCCAGTTGATTACAATCAAGGATCTTCTCAGGTTTATGCTTACCGTCAAGTCTCGGGCACCTCCTCCGCCTAAGAGACTAGTTTTCAATATCACTGTTCCTCCTCCTTCAAACTTCTGCTCAAAAAACTCGACGAGATTTTCAATGTCAAGCAAGCATAACCCGTTAAAGGAAAAATCAGTCAGGTACAAAAAGTTCAGTTCTGCAATGGCTAATATGGACAGTAGGTGGCCTACAAGGCGACTAGAATACGCAGCCCAAGTGATAGTAGATGCATTGAAAGAAAACAAAACAAACAGTTCAGGTTCTGGTGGGATGACGAGGCAGGATGTTAGAGACGCAGCTAGGCTCCACATTGGTGACACAGGCTTGCTGGATTATGTGCTGAAATCACTGAATAATATGATTGTTGGAAACTACGTTGTTCGTCGAATGGTCAACCCGACAACTCGAATCCTAGAGTACAGCATTCATGAGCTGGGAAATGGATCTAAAGCCCCCGAACTACATCGCGAGCTAAAGGTTTTTAATCATATGGAGCCTCCAGCAGAATCAGAACAAGTGCCAGGAATTGATGTTTACAGTGACGTAGCTTTTTTCTACAAGAATGTCCTACTGGGTTACCCAGATTCAGAACAAGTGGACTTGGCGATTCAAACAATTCTAGACAGCAGGCATTTTGTGAAGGAATGGTCATTATTCGATGAAATCGAGCAAGTTTTGACTTTCATATGCCGCTTGATACCCAACTTTGTTGATGATAAACAAGAGTTGAACAAGGAAGTATCCCCAGGTGAGATTGTGCTGGTTCCACTGCATGCAACTGTTGGAGACTTGAAGCAAGCAGCTGAGACTGCTCTAAGGGATACTTATTGTATTGCAGAGAGAGTCATGGTTATAGAGATTGCAGAGTTAGTGGGAATCAGTGATGAGGAAGTGCTTTTTGGGCTAGTGGAGTCTGGTGTGGATCTGCGTGTGAGGGGCATTGGCTTAGATTTGGTTACTCCATTGAAGTATCAGGGAGGTGCAGACAATTGGAAGGTGACATGTGAATGTGGAGCTCAGGATGATGATGGGGAGAGAATGGTGGCATGTGACATTTGTGAGGTGTGGCAGCACACAAGGTGCTGTGGGATTGATGACTCAGAGACGGTGCCACCATTGTTTGTGTGCTCTGGGTGTTGTGACTCACTTGTACCTCCAAGGGTTGATTCTGCATTTAGCAACGATAGCATGGACTGTGCTGATGATTTTTTGATTTCGTCAGAGCCTAATAACTTTCTGGAATTTGGGTATGGCTACTGAATACTGCAGAAACTTGTCTCTGTAATTGTCATTTCATGCAATGATTCATGTATTTTTTGTAAACTTACATTTAGAAATACGCTCAATTCTTGTATGGAAAATAGGAAAAAGAAAAAGGAAAGAAAAGGGACTAAGAATTCTGGCGCGTAGAGGCAGCCTCCGATTGTGTACAGTGGTCAATGTTAGCCAGTTAAATTCTACGGCTGGATGAATAATAAAGAATATCCGAGCATATATAAATTTTCATGATAGAGGCTTCTTGTATCTGATATTGTACATCCCATATCTTGGTCTGGGATTTATTAAACAACCTTGCCAAACCTGTACCTAAGGGTCTTTAGATCACATGACTCTGGATACTGCAATAGAAACGAAGTTTAAGTTCATTGATTTATTATTACAACTCGACAGCTTTTCCATTGCAATTGATGAAAGTTGAAGACTTTCAAATCATTTCAGTCTCATACAATAGTCACATGGTTAATTCACAAGACAGTTGTTGCAAGCGAAGTCTAATCACCACGGGCAAACAGAGCTAGTTATGCAACTCCAGAGACCATAAGCATATGCAGCATATTTACAAATTTAAGTAAAACAAGGCAAATAGATTAATTGCCTTGATGACAAAAACTTGATGGTGTAATTACTCCCAATCCTGTCTACATCATATAAGGATATATATAAATCACCAACCACTTGAGGGTTGAGGCTTTCAGAAGAAGGGAGCCCTGCGGGGTGTTCCCTTTCTTTTGTTTATTGGCTTCCGGAGCACAGAGGCCTTCTCTTTCTTTCCCTTAGAAGGACGCTGCTTGGTAATGAAGGGAGGAAGTGAATCATCGGGCTTCCTTAAAACAGCTTTAACCTGAAAGTTCAGGCTGATAATAATAAATATGCTAGTGATAAAGTTCAAAATAATGACTGAGGGGACGAGAAGGGGTAATCAATTTTGCAAGAGATTGTCGAAGTACTGGCGTGCCTTGCATGAAATGGAGCAATAACGATACAAACGAGGGTTATTCAGCCTTCTGCCACAGGTCTCACATGACAGATCAGTATTTGACTCCAAACAGCCGTGTGGAAGAGGATTCAGAGCAATAACCAATCTCTTGTTGCATGTGTAGGTCTGCATCAGGAAGGGATCAATTTTAAAAACAGAGCAATTGAACACGTTAAGATTCACTACTTTGTTTCCATCAGTAATCCACCTTTGAAACATGCCCAAAAGAAGGGATTAAGTGTGGTATAGGCACACATGCCTGACACCACTCAAAAGCTATATGTTGTACTTATTGCCAGAAAAGAATGCAGTTCAGAATGTTGACAGATGGGATTCTCGTTTACTAATTGTCACCAACTGAACCGGTTTTTTTTTGCCCCTCACATGGAAAGTAGGACTGTAAGAGAACAGCACAATGACAAAATAATGTCGTCGGTAAGGACCACCATGAAAGAACATTTACTTGAAGCTCTATAATACTATTAGCAATATGCTTGTTTTAATCTTACATGACACAATCATACTGAATGCAAATCACTCACTGTTATCTTTCGCACTATTATACCAAGGTCAAATGACATAAAGATTAAGCTTTAATTAATAACTAACTAACAATAAGAACTTGAGATAAATCAAGTCTACTACACAAGAATTGGGTCAATACTTGAAAAGTTTAGCGAATTCTCAAGGCAAGGTAGGATATCGTACCTGAATGTGTGAACAGTCAATATGCTTTTCAACAGCAGCTAAAGCGACAACATATTTGTAGACATGTTTGAAAATGCTCAGCATTTTGTGGCATCGATGGATGCCATGAGACACACAGTATTGGCAAGCAGACTTGTTGCAGGTCATACAGTATTTATTCCGTTCATTCTTATGCATAGGATGAGCCACACAAGAATCAAAGAAAGTTTTTTTCAGAATAGGCTCGAGCCACCTAGGCTTGTGCACCCTACGTTGGGCCATTTGTTCAACCTGTATGAGGAACCATGTTAGTTTGCAGTGTAAGTTACAGAAAGAAACTAATGTCTATCTCATCATTATTTTTCTAATTTTTTTAATCTGAATTATTTATATTTCCATTTTTCTCCTAAAAAAAATCAGTCCTGCTCAAAGTCTGGGATCTTGTGTTCAGAAAGTACTTCATTCACATTTTAAATTAATATGTGCAACTTCACTTTGCTTAGGACCAACAACTAATAAACGCAACCTATTCTGAACTAAAGGACTAACACAAGTTATGCAATCAATTTCTATCACTTGTTTCAGTTATTATAGTTTGTTTCCCTCAATAAACCTCCGTATATGATTAAACGTTATCAAATGCTCAAGCTACCAGATACTATATGCAGGGGTCAACAAAATCTTGTGTTTCAGCTTCTGAATTTAAACAAAATCAGCAGTGAGAAGATATGCTTGCTACTCCACAAGGCATGAGATGTTTAACATATGGTAAGTCTACTGGATTATCTGATACAGTATGATGTCAATAATTATGATAAAACAAACATTATACAAGGAAACCAATAGAGATGAGAAAATGAACATAAAGGTTACCAAAAGTTGAAAATCAAATTCAAAGTCGTATGCCACCAAGAAGCATTTAATTGAATGTGATTAATTTCAATAATTCTTTTTGTCGTCATTTGAGAAACTTCGTTGAGATGCGACAAATCAACAATAGAGAAACAAGCGGTTGCATTAAACGGATTTAACAATTTTTGAAACAGCAAAAGGACTAAATAGTTGGCCGATAATAAGGAAATATTTACACATAGAATGAATTTATGGAATTTTCTATCTGCTTCTGAAAAGTCATACAGTTTTGTTATATCCAACATCAACTTTTACTTCCCTTCCCTTTTCAGATGAATCTTGATTTTATAGGATAGACAACTAAGAATCAGATTCTGATCATTCTAAGCTATTTCTTAGACTAATATCCAACTTAGTAAGCCTTTCAAAGAAAATTTTTGATATTATTTTGCTCTAATGATGATTTCCCAAGCCCGGAAAGAGTTTTTCCTTTCATAAATTTTTAGCAAGAAATAACTCTGTGACAACCCATTTACCTAGAGGGTATAAGGATCTAATCCTTTTCAAATAAAAAATCAATTCTTATAACCCTCTACAAAGCAATTTAGGAGAAGCAATACTTTTAAAATTATAACCAAAAGATGCAAAAGGGAAAGACGTATTTGCTTTATACTTAATTGACATGAGAAATATAGAAGCAACCAATCGCTTTACCTTCTCCACTTTTCCGGAGGAAGAAGCACTCATCTTTTTCATCCTTCAATCTCAAAAGGAAAATCGATTCACAATCTTAGAGCTAAAGGATGAGGAGAAAATCCAAATTCAGTTTGACGAATTTGATTATACAACAAAAGGCAGAAAGGAGAAGGGAGAGAGAAGGAATCCTAGAAGTTAGCTTGAGATACAATGCTTGCTTTTCTTTAACCAGTTCATTTTGTAACTGAAGAATGAGTGACTGAGGTGTCAGGTAAACAGAGACTCTATTGATGAAATCAAGGCAACTAAGCTAATCCACCTATCTTGTTTTCCAGTAAATATGCAGGACAGGTGTTCATAAAGCAATGAGACTAAAACGACTTTGTCGCTAGCAGAATTCAGTTCACATCTTTATGATCAAAACTATTACTCTTCCTTAGAGAGTTTGTATAAAATACGGAGGGTGCCATTCTTTGAATTATATAATCTTATAAATTAGAGAATGCAAGAGTGAAACTTCATTCACTAACCATAAATGAAAGATGCCTAAAAGCTTCTTGGGATTTATGTTGATTTTATCAGCAAAGTTAGACAATAGCAGAAAAGGCCAACGCTTTGAGTTCATCCTTTTACACAAAGTAACCTGGATTTCGGGACTGATCAGAAAAATATCAGTGAGAAACGTTCATAAACATTAAGGCGATTACATGAGAAGCATTTCGTCTCAAAGGAGAATAACGAATCCCAACAAATGCCAACCACTATATCATCAAATGCAATCCTAGAGTCTTCTTGCCGATCAACATTTCATACATTATTATCATTTATGACATTGTCACGAGCAGTTAAACAAGCATTTCAACTTATGAGTTCACATTACCTAGCATCCACTCAGCCAGGATCAAACAAAGGTGTGTCTTGGCGAAACGCCATTTTGGACTTTACCACCTTTAGTGGTGTCAGTTGCGTCAATGGCAAAAACAGAAGTCTCCGTTGTAAGCAATATACAGAGGCATTAGGGTAGAAATTTAACGAATTAAAGGAAGATATACTCAGTCAAAGTGAAATGGGTGAAGATGACGGGGAAAGAATGGAACTTTATCATGCTTGATAGGTATGAGTGGCTACTCACTAATGCTCCGCAGAATAACTCCGGGAGGGAAAATTTTCAGGACAAAGAAGTGGGAGAGTAGATACAAAACAACAGCTGATGGAGGGTTTTCTGCAGATGAGTCCAAAGTTGGCATGTTTAATATTTTTTTGTTTAGAATAAATGGAAAGTTAATCCTTTTATCTCACGCTCCTTTACCCTCCGTTCGAATGAGAAAAAAAATAAAAAAAATAAAAAATGTTAACTCTCCTCTTATTTAAATGGATAAAATAAATAAATAAATAAATATCATAATAATTATAATACCCTTATATTAAAATATATCATATTTCATGTAATTATATTTATAAAAATAAATAAAATTATTTGTTAAAAATATATTTTTATATTATATTATAAAATAAAATAATTAAAATTAAATTAATGCAATTCTAAACATTTGATCTAGTTAATGACTAAATTATTTAATTAAATAGTTAAATTAATGTAATTTATAACCATGAAAATTAAAAATTATAAATTAAACTGTTTAATTAAAATTAAATTAATATAAGTAAGTAATTTTCTAAAAGTCAAAGCATGAAATAAATAAGAGAGAGGGTAAATGGTGAAAAAAAATTTTACTCTCAAAATCTCCCCATTTTTAGAGAGAAAAGTTGAAAAAAAAAAATAATAGGTCTCACACCCTATTTTTCTTTTTTCTCATTTTTTCTTTCCTATCGAAATAGGGAAAAATTTATTTTATCTTCTTATTTTCTTTCCTTTCATATTTTTTTTTCAATCAAACAAAGCATTTAGTGTGATTTATTCCCTCATTTATAACTTTTTATGATTCAATTTTTTAACTTTTTACTTATCTATAATTCAATTTTTATTTTTTATTTTTTTGAAAAATTATTCTTATCAAATAAGATGAGAAGAAATTTGTATATATTGCTTTAAAATACTCTTGTTTTACTTTTTGATGTGGGATCTAAACTAATATAAAAAAATAAAAATGACAAAAATTAACAGATTGAATTATAAGTGAGTTAAAAATTAAGGAATTAAGTTGTAGCGAGTCACAATTAAGAAATTAAGTTACAAGAAAGTTAAAAATTAGGAATTAAAAAATTAATTTTTCTTCAAATAAATAATAAATGTTAAATGTATAAATTGTACACTAATTATTTTTTGATAAACACTGGCACTATCGAGTGGTGTAAAAAAACTTATCAATTATAAAACATGAAATATCCAACACTTCAGTCAATTTTGATTAAATGGCTGTTTATTTTTAGACTCGCGGGTTCATAACAACAACAACTCCCATCTTTCATCACTCTCTCTCCCTCTCCCCATCCCCCCTATTTAATCTTATCTCTCATAACACCATAGCTTTGCCGGCAACTCTTCAAAACATGGCACAATCTCTCTCACGCGCACACACCAAAGCACAGAGTCACCATTTCCAAAAACATTACTGGAATAGAGAAAGAACAAAAGACTCAGTTAGTGTCTAGGTCAATCAGGCCACCCTTCAGAAGTTTCTAAAACGCCTCCATCGACCATAGATTTTGAAGCCATTTTTGAAATACTTGAAAAGAAATTGCCAGGAAAAACTGGATTTTGAAGCTGTTTCTGAAATTCCCAGATAGCAAGAGGGAGCTAATTACCATGTAGAAGGTTGTATGAGATTTGGTGACAAGAGTGGCTTGAGTGAAATCGCAGAGATCAAAGGCTTTCTGGTTATGGAAACTGCATAGATTGCAGTGTTGCCCGTGCTTGAAAACTTAAGCAGATAAACAGAGCAATACATTAATAAATAGTTGCTATTTTCAGTAAACAAAGCTCAAAAACATTCCACAAAACTTTCAAGTGGCTAAGTCAATCAGGCCACCATTGTTCACGGCGATGGGAGGCTGTGGTCGCCGCTGCCAAGTCGCCGAGTCGCACAGAAGGTTTTGTTGTCGTCGGAAGTCACTGATGGCAGAATCCAGTTTACAACGTTGCGTCGTCTTAGTGGGTGCTGCGCTTTGCCGCCGTTTTGCTTCGTTTTCTGGTTCACATTGTCACATCTTCTTTCAACGCCAACTAAAACATCTTCGCTCTCATCCTCGTACGCCCATACATGAGTTGTCCTGTGAGATAGCATCTGAGCCAATACAAATGTAACGATCACCACTTTCTAAAAACAATATAATCTGAATTGGCCACAAAATATGATAACGGAAGTGCAAATTGCAAGGATAAATGAGCAAGTTTCGGATTACAAAGCAATAGCAGAAGAGATAGAAGAAGAAACATACAGGGAGAGGAGAAGAGTACAAAAAGAGAGAGCTTCCACAAAATCATTCGTTGCCTTCTCCCTGCTTCCGCCTTCCTGTATTTACCTCAACGTCTTTTAAGTTAGCCCTAAGCCCAATATCACCACCAAACAGCTCTTTCTTCCAGTCAAAGAATTAATCAACAAACGGCCGGACAAAATCGATGGAAGGTGATAGATGATCCGTATTTTATCTTTGATAATTTTTTTCATATCAACGATATTACAGGCTATACAGTGCTCCTTCAAAAATAATTGGTGACTAATTTTATACTTTTACCCATCAATAAAAGCCAAAAACAAGTTATTTATTTAATTATTATACTTTCTCGTGAGAGGAGTATAACCAAAAAAAAAAACTCAAACTTCAAAAGAAATATGCTAAATAAATTTTAAAATATAAGTATTTTTAGGACTAACAAATTATTATAAAGTTTACAGGATAACAGCTTTTCAAAAACAATTAACACACAAGTTGTGAGTTTTTAAAATAAAACATGCGCGGATACATTTACGTGGAATGAGACTCCGAGTCACCACACGCCGACAAGACTCATTGACAAATCAAGATTATTTCTATGGTTATACTTGTTGATTTAATTATATCTGCACCTGATAAGAAAATTTCTTTTTCTAATCCTGTAACTACTGATGCATCATCGCTCGAGAAACTCAGAGCAGCCATTTTTGTAACTGAAGCAAACCAAGGAAGGGACATTTGATGTCTGGAGCTTTAGTCAACTCATGCTTCTATTCACATTTATCCCGATTTGTCATTCTAAGAGTGTCCATTTTCTCTCCCGAAAAACAAAAGTGTCCACTTTCAGAATAAATATTATCCATTTTTTATCTATATCTGTGTATGATGTAAAAGCTAAAAAACAGCTATTAATAGAAAAACTTATTTTTATGTGTAATGAATATATCAAGCACGCCAAAGCAGTATTTTCCTCTCTTGGTCAAAAAAAAAAATAAAAAAAAAATCACCCTAAAGCAGCATCTAGGGCATGATTGTGAACCACAAAGCAACGAGATGAAGCCGTGAAACTGAGTTTTTCGCCTTTATTCTGATGATGTTGGCAAAAACATTGGAAAGGGAAAAATAACTGAAAAAATAACAATAGGAGGACAAAAAAAGCCCGAGCTGCACAGAAGCCCAAAGGCCCAGCCCTTCTCAAATTTTTTGATTTATGGGGCAACCTTCCAAATTTCTTTAGAGCAGAGTTTAGCTATAGCTTCTCGGACTTTGTTATGGGGATTTTAGATGCGATTTCTTAATAAATATAAGATAAATGTGCATCATTGTACGGTTTGATTTCTAAAAGTATATATAGAAAAATATTGCTTAAGAGATGACATCTCTGAAATGATACGTAGATTTTTTTTTTTTAAGGATTAATCCTACAAATGCCAGTTGCAAGAATGCCTTGAGTAAAAGAGAGAGAAAGATAAATGTATCATTTTAATGATTGTGGATTATATTATTTTATTTATTTTTATTTTGTTTATAAATATTTATATTTACTGTAAAAGCTAACAATAAACTGAGTTGTAAAATTGCGTTGAGAATTTTTTTGGTGCAAGTGAATGTAAATTATTATCGTTTTTAATTACTGGAATAAAGGGCATTTTTGTCTGTTAATTATCCATGGGAGAACATTCAGCATCCTGGAATTTTTTGGGTATAATGTTTTGTTTCTAACAATTAAAATTGCTGTAATATTACCCTTACGGTTAATAAAATTAAATTTAACCATTAGTTATATTGACTTAAAAAAAATACAAAAGTACAATATAAAAAAAAAATACTAATTAAGTCAGTTAAATCATGAATAAATTCTAAAAGACAAATGCCATTTTTTACCACGTAATATACTAAAATATCATTTTGATTAACCACTTTGACATACTATTAGATGATTACTGGATCATTATTAATATCAACACCAGTAATTGGTTGAAAACTAATATATTTATTTTAATAATATCTTATGAAAATGTTAACACTTTAATATTTAATATTTTGTTATCAACGTGACTAACAACAATGATAATTCAAAAAATCACCTAATAGTTGATCAAAATAATTGGTTAAAATAGTTTTTTAATCCTTTGTATGAATAAGAAATAACATTATTCTTTTGAAATTTATTTATAATTTAAGAGACTTATAGAGTCCTATAATATAATTTTTGAAATCTTTTTCTGTAATTTTTTAGGTTAATTAATGATTAAACTCCATTTTTAACTGTTAAAGGGGAACATTGTACTAAAAAATGTTTACGATGTTAAATTCTCTTGCACGAATAATCCAAAGGAAAAAATAATATTTAATTTTCTGACAATGTATAAGAAAACATGTCTAGATGTATTTAAATATTGTTAGAATTATTGCACAATAAGTATTAACATCAGTTTTTATAGTTATTATTGCAGAACTCGTCCAATAAAAAGTTTTACACGTTCAATCCAACTCACAGCTGAACTCAAATTCAAATTAATCAAAATTCAACGTAGCTTTCCAAAAAAAAAAAAAAAACGGGTATATGACACACACACACACAGAAGAATTTACTGCGTAAGAATTAACATAAAAAAGCATGGGTCTAGCTAGTATCTTAGAATGTAGAATTTGTTTGTTTTAAAACTATAAGATTTTTCTTGAATGTTATACAGTTTACAAATAGTAAGTACTATTTACGGTACCCACATGATCATGATATTAATTGATTAATTATGTTTATGATAG